TTTAGTTTTAGTCTCACTCTGTCACACAGGATGGAGTGCAGTGGCACCCTCACAGCCACCCCACCGTCGACCTGCTGGACTCAGGCGATCCTTCTGCCTCAGCCTTCCAAGTGGCTGGGACTTCAGGTGAGCGCCACCATGCCCAGATAATTTTTTGATTATTGTAAAGATGAGGTCCTGCCAAGTTGCCCAGACTGGTCTCGAATCCCTGGATTCAGGCAATCCTCTCGCCTCTGCCTTCCAAAGTGCTGGGATAATAGCTGCGAGCCACTGCACCTGGCTTCTAGCGCAATTTAAATTCTGTTCTGGGTTTCCCTGAATACAAACCAGCATTCTGAGGAGGAACCTCTGGATTCTGCAGCATATCCCTAACACTATGGGGGGTAGAGGTATGGGTGAAAAAGAGACAGGACATCTAGATGGGAGGAAGGAGCAGCACAGGAACAAGCCTGAACGTGAATATTTTCATACCAAAAGCACAAGATGGAAAACTGGCAGACCACACAAACCCATGCATCTTCTCTCTGCCCCATGCTCACAACACCATCAGGCAGTTTGGGGAATGGGGCAATGGGGTAGAAGTGGAGTGCAGACCGGACAAGGAGTATGAGGGGCAGACCTTGCAGAGAGCTCTGAGAACAGAGTGAGGGCACCAGAAAAGAAAAGAGCAAGACTTCTGGATCAGAGGAGACAGAGCTGACTAGATGAACTTCGTGGGCCCTCGGGGAGTTCAGATCCATGTGTGGCTTCTTGAAACCACTGTTCTCCAGGTCTTTGAAGGATCTGCTAGACTAAGAACCTTGCAGTCAGTGGAGGAGGGTAGGAAGAAATTCCCAAACATCTGACTGAGGCAAGGCTGGGCAGGTGAGAGGGTGGGAGCAGGGCCACCTTCCCTGGAGCTGATGAAGAGATGGGAAACTGACAGTCCCAAGATTATATGCAAGAATGCAGGTGTTACCTCCATGTAGTGACTGAGAGATACAGAGAGGAAGAGGCAGAAATCCAGGAAGAACCAGGAACGCAGATGGAAAGACTAGAACACAGACAACATTTCTGCACACATGTATGATTGTGATAGGGAACAAATGACTAGCTCACGTCTGTAATCCCAGCACTTTGGGAGGCTGAGGCGGGAGGCTTGCTTGAGGCCAGGAGTTCAAGGCTGCAGTGAGCTATGATCATACCACTGCACTCCAGCCTGGGTGACACAGTGAGGCATTGTCTCTAAAAAAAGAAAGGAGCCGGGCTCGGTGGCTCAGCCTGTAATCCCGCGCCTTTGGGAGGCTGAGGTGAGTGGATTGCCCGAGCCCGCGGGTTCAAGACCCTCCTGGGCAGCGAGACCTCATCTCTACAATAAATCACAGTATCAGCCGGGCGTGGTAGCGCATGCCTATAATTCTGGCTACTTGGAAGGCTGAGGCGGAAGGATTGCCGGAGCCCAGCAGGTCAAGGCTGCGGTGGCCAGGAGTGGCCACTGCACTCCAGTCTGGGCGACGGAGTGAGACTCCAACTCAAAAAAAAACAAAAAACATAAAAGGAAATAAAAGGGCCTGGAATGGGTGGAAGGGAGGCAGGCAAGAGAGGGGGCAGGGGTAAGATTTGGTTTTGTTCGGTTTAAAGACATAGGGAAAGATATTTGGGAGCATCTGTCATACTGAATGAGCCTTTCAAGACAGAAGTGGAGACATGAAGTTTTTAGTGACTTTTACTGAGTGTGGAGTGGTCCGATCTCATTCACCACCAGTGCCTGAAGAAAACCTCCAGGAAAGATGGAAACTCTTCTGCGTGGCATTCCAGGGGGCATTCCTGTTTCGATGAGTGGTGCTGAAGAGAACCTCAGGTGAGCTCACAAAGGCTCGGGAGTGTTCAGGTTATATATGCACATATGCATAGCCACATATCCCAACACAGCAAGAGCCTTGCTTATAAATCCCTTCATCTGTCCTCTAGAGACATGACCATGTGTGTCAAGACCCCATTAAAATTCCTTCTGGAGTGACTCAAGCCTGTAACCCCAGCACTTTGGAGGGCTGAGGTGAGAGGATTGCCTGAACTCAGGGGTTTGTGACCAGCCTGGGCAACTTGGTGAGACCTCAACTCTACAGTAAAAATTTTTTTTTAATTAGCTGGGTGTGGTAGCGTGTGCCTGTAGTTCCAGCTACTTGGAAGGCTGAGGCAGAAGGATCGCCAGAGCCCAGCACGTCGAGGCTGCGGTGGCTATGAGCATCCCACTGCACTTCAGCCTGGGTGACAGAGTGAGGCTCCAACTCAAAAAATAAATTAATTAATTTAATGTAATTTAATTCCTTCTGGGAGCCGGGCATGGTGGCTCACACCTGTAATCCTAGCACTTTGGGAGGCTGAGACAAAAGGATTGTCTGTGTCTAGGGGTTCAAGACCAACCTGGGCAACTTGGCGAGACCTGGTCCCTACAATAAATCAAAAACATTAGCTAGGTGTGGTGGCACACCCCTGTGGCTCCAGCTACTGAGACAGAAGAATCACCTGAGCCCAGCAGGTCAAGGCTACAACGGCCGTGAGCATGGCACTGCACTCCAGCCTGGGTGACAGAGTGAGACTCTGATTCAAAAAATGAGTAAAGTAAAATAACATAAAATAAAATAAAATTCCTTCTGAGATGGGCATGGTGGCTCATGCCTGTAGTTCCAGCACTTTGTGAGACTGAGGTAGAAGGATCACTTGAGGCCAGGAGTTCAAGACTAGCCTAGGCAACATAGTGAGACCTGCCCCCTGCCATCTCTAAATAAAATAAAATTCCTTCTGGGCAGAAACTGAAGATAAGAGCAGAACCTAGCCGGGCTCGGTGGCTTAGGCTGTAATCCCGCGCTTTGGGAGGCTGAGGTGAGTGGATTGCCTGAGCCCGTGACTTCGAGACCCACCCGGGCAACTTGGCAAGGCCTCATCTCTACAATAAATAAAAAAATTAGCCAGGCGTGGAGCGCACGCCTGTAGTTCCAGCTACTTGGAAGGCTGAGGTGGAAGGATCGCAGGAGCCCAGCAGGTCGAGGTTGCGGTGGCCGGGAGCGGCCACTGCACTCCAGTCTGGGTGACAGAGCGAGACTCCAACTCCAAAAATAAAAAAGGAGCAGAACCTGAGTGGCCTTTGGTGAGACACCTGCGTCCCTACAACAGGCCTCTTGGACTTTTCCGCCCATGCTGCTGTGCCTCTGCCTACGTAAATGCATCTGTGTGTACACAGTATTCCATGAGGAGCAGGGATACTGAACGCCACACAACAGAAAAACCATTTGGCCCAGCTCCATCTCCGCCTACTCAGACATATGCTTCTCGTGGTAGCAGAGACATGTCTATGTAGCTAAAACAAACGGAGTGAGGCAGTGACACATAGGCTGACAATCTGAGAGATGGAGGACGGCATGTCAGCTGCTCCACTCTCTGCTGGAACCTGTAGACACGCAGGATTTCTTAGTGCAGGTCACACCCACAGTACTCATGTAAGTCTGAGATGCTTCCTGAAGACCATGACAATGATGGAGCAGAGATGCTGTCCCTCATCATGCACGTGCACACACGCGCGCGCGCGCACGTTCACGCACCAACTCCCAGGGCCCCTCTGCACCCCCACAAGATGCCTGCCTTCCCCTCCTCTCAGTCCACAAGCCGACATTCGGTTCCACCTCTTCCGTCAGCCTTGACTACCCCCACCCACGCTGGCACCTGTCTGGCAGCTCCCATCCACCCCCTCAGCCCTCAGGAGGCCAGGACACACGTGGAACAGGTTGATGCTGTTCTCCCAGAAGTGGAGCGGGATGGAGGTGGGGTCACTGGGCAGGCCGGGTCCCCGAAGCCTTCATCCCTGCTTCCACAGAGGCATAAAGCAGCCTGTCCTGGCAAGGGACAGTCATCGCTCAACCAGCAGGCAGAGAGAGCCCTGGACCCTCACCCCGGATCCAGCTGCTGGACAGGACCCAGCACCACTCCCTGGTAAGAACTTGGTGACAGCAGAGGAGGCAGGGGGTGTTCTGGGGCTATAGGAAGATGGGCAAGGCCAGAAGGGCATGGGACGCCTCCAATCCAACAGATTGAGAAGCCCATGGGCCTTGGGAGGGAAGGGAGAGGAAACCCTGTGAGCGCCTCTTTGGTGAGAAGGAGGCTGCCATCGCTCGAGCCTTCCCCAGATACACCCAGCTCCTGCCCCAACTTGGCTCTCCCAGGAATGAGGGGTGAAAAAGCATGTGGGAGCTGGCAGAGTGACCCCACACATCTGTACCTGGACCTCCTGCTTCCCTGCCACTGTGAGGTACCTACAGTGGAGCGAGGCACTTCCAGACCAGCTGGTGTGTCCTCTTCCACCCACAGGGGTTTGCCGGCTGGCCACCCAGCCAGAGCACCTGGATTTGAACTTCAAAGACAGACGCCTAAGATGATGAACCGCAGGCTTTCATGGGCCCCACATTCTCCAGGGCCCTCTCACCCTGGCGTATGTCTCTTGGGGCCACATTCATTCATTCTTTCCACACACATCTGCCAAGCTCTAACTCTGTGCCAGGCACGGTGCTTGGTGCTGATGCTGCAGGGGTGACTAAGACCCATTTCCTGCCCTCCGGGAAGTCACAGTCGAGGAGGTGAGAGTCAGGTGAACAGGTCATAACAACACGAAGTTGCAGGTGTTTCAGGCGGAGATGTACAAAGAGCTTTGGTGGAGTCACCAGCTGCCTGAAGGCTTGAGGGAAGAGGTCAGAGGAAGTGACCTGAATTGAGTCTTAACCCTTTCCCCATTTAACTGAGGATGCTCACCACAGTACTTGCTGCTGCAGCGTTTACCCTGAGAATAAAAGAGGAAGAGAGAGAGAATTACAAAATACAGTAATTATCTTTTTTTAAGAGAAATTCTCTTAAGATTAGAGACAAATTCTGTTTAGAAATAACTCCAAGAACAGTTCTTATATTTTATTTTCACATCGAAAACTGGTCACATTTGCTTCAATCTCAGCATGTTGGCATAAAATTAAAAGAAAGCAGCAGTAAACTGCACATTTTTTTCCTAAACGGGTAAAGGGTTAAAAGATGAATGGAGATTCTTTAGGTTGGGAAGAGGGTATTGTAAGCAGAGGGACCAAAAGCAAAGAGCATCAGGACGCCTGCATCTAGGGGCAGTCCCTGGAGAGAAGTGGGTCTCCTCATACCTGGGAGCTGGGAGGCAGGCACAGGGCAGCACAGGGGCCAGGGACGTGTACCCCACCCAAAGAAAGAGCAACTGGGACGGGTACCTCCCAGGTCCTTGGCACCCACAGTGGCTGTTTCCTTCCTAGCGATCCCAGATCCTGACTATCCTCTGGTGTGAGAGGAAGCTTTACTTCTGTTGCTAATGCAATTCCTCCACCGGGCTCTGTGTCTGTGAAGAAAATGGGTGTGGAGGGAGAAAACAGGTCTTGACAAAGGAAGGGGGCTCTGGCCTCTCCGGCCTGCTGTGTGACTTCGGGCAGCTATTTCAGCTCTCGACCCCTGGCTGCCCTAATAAAATGACTTCTTTGGGTCTTCCCAGCTCTGACACCCAAGAATCCAGGCATCTATAAGAGGTCTCCCTGCCCCAGAGCCGGTGACCCTCTCTGCAGGGGCCTTCCCAGACAGCCGCCTTGACACTCTCCTGTCTTCCCAGCCCATACACAGAGAGACAATGACTATGTTTGAAAACGTCACCCGGGCTCTGGCCAGACAGCTGAACCCTCGAGGGGACCTGACACCCCTAGACAGCCTCATCGACTTCAAGCGCTTCCATCCCTTCTGCCTGGTGCTGAGGAAGAGGAAGAGTACGCTCTTCTGGGGAGCGCGGTACGTCCGCACTGACTACACCCTCTTGGATGTGCTTGAGCCCGGCAGCTCACCTTCAGGTCAGCCTCAGGGTGGGGTGAGAACCGCGGGATACTGAGCGATGGGAGCCAGGCACCAGCCCGAGAGGAGGACTCCAAAGCCCTCTCTGCCCAGACGTGGCTAGGTGCCATTTAGGCTCAAGCTCTCATTAAGAGCTTGGGAGGCTGGGGCAGGAGCATGGGGGCGTGCCTCTCAGCCCAGCCTCTTTTGTCTTCTCCCTCCTGCAGATCCAACAGATACTGGGAGCTTTGGCTTTAAGAACATGCTGGATGCCCGTGTGGAGGGAGAGGTGGATGTGCCAAAGACTGTGAAGGTGAAGGGAACTGCGGGGCTCTCCCAGAACAGCACCCTGGAGGTCCAGACACTCAGTGTGGCCCCCAAGGCCTTGGAGACCTTGCACGGGGAAAGGTGAGAGTGGGCAGGGCTGAGGGGTGACCAGAAGGGAGCGGGGCAGTGCTGGATAGGGTGCTTTGGCCCTCAACTGAAGGTGGGGGTCCTCACACTGCCAATGTGGTCACTACTCTTGAAGATGACCCTCTGGCCCATGGGTGCATCCAGGCCATTTTCTAACCTCTCCTCTCCGTGCTCCCACTGCCTCTAGGACCACCTCCCCATGTCACACACCCATGGGAGGAGCATATTCACATCAGCCTGTGGTGTGACCGTCTCAGTTTTCTTTTCTGCAAAATGATGGGTTTGGAGGATCTTCTCTAAGTTTCCTTGCAACTCTAAGACACTAGAAAGGGAGGTGTGAGTTTTAGCTGCTCCCTGCTGAGCCCTGAGCTCTCCTGCCTGGCCCCGACACACGCGAGGCACACCCTGGGGAATGCTGCCCCACAGCACAAGGGGTGTGGCAGGGGCCCCATGGATGCTGGGCGCTGTGGATGTTTGGCCTGACAGGGGAGCTGGCTTGTAAGTAGTTAAGCAGTGGTTGAACAAAGGAGGTGAGGACTGGGGAGGTGCTTGGGAAGTCACCCAGGAAACATTTATATAGCTCTGTTTATATAGTAAAGCTCCCTACTACACATGGGGGTGCACCTAAGACATCTTTGTCCAAATACTTTGCAATCCAAGAGTGTGAAAAAAAAAGTGTGCAGTAGTCAGCGCTGTAAGAATGGCTCGACTGAGGCTTGGGGTGGGTTGGGGGACTGGGGAAATAAGGAAGGATCTTGCAGAAGTGGCAACTCATGAGTAGGCCTTGAAAGGTGAGTGGAGGCTGGGTGCAGTGGCTCAAGCCTGTAATCCCAGCACTTTGGGAGGCCAAGGTGAGGGGATTGCCTGAGCCCACGGGTTCAAGAACAGCCTAGACAACTTGGCAAGACCTCATCTCTACAATAAATCCAAAAATTAGCCGGGTATGGTAGCACATGCCTGTAGTTCTGGCTACTCGGAAGGCTGAGGTGGAAGGATCTCCAGAGCCCAGCAGGTCAACATTAGGGTGGCCGTGAGCATGCCACTACACTTCAGCCTGGGCAGTGGAGTGAGACTCCAACTCAAAGAAAAAAAAGAAAGGTGAGTAGAAATTGGACATGCCAGGCTGGGAGAAGGGTACTACAAAGGCCTATTACATAGCTGAGCAATCTCAAAACCAATAAGGACCATGAAAAGCCAGTCTGGCAGGGGCAGAAGAGGTATAAGTAGAGTGAGCGGGAGATGTCGGGTGGACCAGATCATGAAGGAGCCAGGTGACAGGTCAAGAGAGTGAACTAGTCTGTAGGCCCCAGGGAGACCTTGACAATGCTCTGATGTATCTCAGGACTAATCTGGCCAGATGGAGGAAGGGTGTCAGAGAGAGGAAGAGGGACAGGGACTTGAAGCAGGCAGACCAGGCAAGACACTGTCCCACTATTCCATCAGCAAAGTAAACTGAGGACCCAGGGCTGGGGGAGGGCAGTGAAGAGGGAAAGAGCGGATGCCAGGCCTGTTGCAAAGGGAGATGGAATGAACTGGGCTTGGCAGCTGATTGCAGGATGAGGGTTTCATCAAAGATGACTCTGAGATTTGAGCCAGATTGTGACATTAAAGGCACTATTACAGGTGACATACAGGAAGACAGGTTAGTGGTAGATTCAGACAGAGATTGTGAGTTCCTTTTGGATGTTCTGAGTCTGTGGCTCTGCTGAAACATTGACTGAGAATGTTTAACAGGTAGTTGGAAACAGGGTCCTGGAGCTCAGGAGGGAGGTCAAAGTAAGGATACACATGTGGTGGTCAGCAGTATAAAAATTAAAACTGTAGCCAGGCACAGTAGCTTGTGCCTATAATCCCAGCACTTTGGGAGGCCGAGGCAGGAAGATCCCTTGAGTCCAGGAGTTCAAGACCAAACCTGGGCAACATAGCAAGACCTCCTCTCTCCAAAAATGTTTTTAAAAATTACCCAGGCGTAGTAGCAAGTGCCTGTAGTCCCAGCTACTCAGAAGGCTGAGGTGGAAGGATCCCTGAGCCCAGGAGTTCAAAGTTGCAGTGAGTTATGATTGTGCCGCTGCACTCAACCTGGGCAGCAGAGACACTGACACAAAAACAAACAAAAAACCTGTAGAAATGGGAGTGCTGCCGGAGGGAGTTCAGAGAACAGAGGAGTTAGAACAGAATCTTAAGAGAACATGAAATTGTAGGGAACCAGCTAAATGGGCACACGGGCTACAGACAGAATGGATAAGGTTCAGAAGTCAAAAAAACTGCAGTAGAGCCAAGATGATCCACTGTGATCAGAAGTCAGGATGGCACGGAAGGTCTGGGCAGCAGGGTCAAGTGTTGCGCAGAGTAAGGGAAGGTTTGATGTTAGTAAGTTAGTTGGTAAGTTCTGAGTTTGATGAGCAGGAGGTCATTGTGACTTCAGGTGAGTAGTGGACACAGAAGGCAAATTATAGAGAATTTAGGAGTGGGCAGTGAGGAAGTCAGTAATACCTCTTGAGATGTTTCCCCATGAAGTGAAGGAAAGAAATAGGGTGGTAATTGGAAGGAGTAGCACTATCAAACAAAGGGAAATCGTTAGGAACAGGGACATGTTTGCATATGGAAGCAAACAGAAGGAGCAAGTGGAGAGGAGGACGGGTGTTAACAGCAAGAGAGAGGATAAAAGATGGAAAGAAAGGATCCCAAAAGAGACAAACAGGGAGGAAAGAGAGGAGAATCTACCCCTAGCTGAAGGAAGAAGGAAGTAGGAAGCACCCATGAGGCCCTGTTCTGGGCCAAGTGCTGAACCAGGTCATTACCTAGTTTATCTCTCAACAACATGGAGTTAAGCATCATTATGCTCATTTTACAGATGAGGCAACTGAGACTCAGAGAAGCTACCCTCCCAGTAAGCAGGAGACCGGGCTGACAGCCTCAGACTTACTCAGGCCCTGCCTGCCACCACAATGTCTAGCTCTCAGGAACGGATGAAGGAAAGAGGAGGGTATGGCTCAGTCAGGGAGAAGGTCTGAGCAGTTTCCTTATGTCCCTCCTGCCACAGGAAGCTGGCAGCAGACCACCCGTTCCTGAAGGAGATGCGAGACCGAGGAGAGAACCTGTACGTGGTTATGGAAGTGGTAGAGACGGTGCAGGAGGTCACTCTGGAGAGAGCTGGCAAGGCAGAGGGCTGCTTCTCTCTCCCCTTCTTTGCCCCGTTGGGGCTACAGGTTTGACTCAAACACACATGTTGTCTCTCTCTCTCTCTCACACACACACACACACACACACACACACACACACACACACACACACACACACTCAGCCCCTTCTCGGAGGCTTTGTTAACCTTGCCCCATCCATGCCCACCTAGGATACTGAAAAGGACCCATTCCTTCCCCCTGCCTTCAAGAGCTAAGCCCCAGCTGGCTAGACCCAGTCCTCCGCTCTGGTCAACGGCGCCCGGTGTGGGCAGATGCCTGTGCCAGATGCCACTGGGAGCTACTGGGGAATAGAGAGTCACACTCAGGCGTTTTCCCTCAGTCTAAAGAGGAGACATCCTTGCTTCCAGAAAGTTCTCAGACTTATAAAGGAGACACATGGGTTAAAGCCCAGAGAACACAGGCTTGGAAAATTCGATGGAAATAAGTGATGTTCTACATACCCATAGCTACTGAGTATAAATATTCAAAGGATGATTTAGGATTTGGAGGAGGGGTTAGTTATGGAAGGTTACCTGAATGAGGTGAGCATGGGACAGATGGCGAAGAGGAAGAAGGAGCCAGGGCCTGGATGAGAGCTCTAAGGTGGGACAGGGCAGGGCAGGTGATGGAGCAGGTCTGTCTAGTTCCCTTCACATGTCTGAATCAGAAAGACAGACAGAGATTGTTAGAGGGATAATCAGCAGCAATGAGTGGAAGGGCTCCAAAGCCCATCCCAAAGTCCAGCTGGGTACAAAGATGATGGGTGACACCACTGAAGACTTCCCAACTTCTTATCACCCCAAAGGTGCTCAACCCAGACCCTGCACCCCCACTCCCAATGTCTCATACTTAGGTAATTCACCAATCCCTATTGTCTGATCCTAGGGATCCGTAAACCACAAGGAGGCTGTAACCATTCCCAAGGGCTGCGTCCTGGCCTTTCGAGTGAGACAGCTGATGGTCAAAGGCAAAGATGAGTGGGGTGAGCAGAGACCAGCGTGTTCTTCCCACAAGATGAGAATTCTCTGCACCAATAATAAGGCAACCTGGTCCCCTCTCAGGGTGATGTCAGAGAATGAGTGAAGGAGTGGATTGTAGTCTGACTGTGGGAAACAGAGCTACAGGGGCTGCTCTCTCCTGGATGCTGAGCACTGTGGTCAAAGTGGGGAGAAGGCACAAAAATGAACAAGCATAACCACTCAAGAAGGGTATGTCTAAAGGAGGAAATAGACATAGACGCCAGTATAGAATGCAAGGTAGAAAACAGTGCAATTAGCCAGGTGTGGTAGCCCACACTTGTATTTCCAGCCACTCAGGAGGCTGAGGTAGGAAGATTCTTTAAGTCCAAGAGTTTGAGGCTGCAATGAGCTACAGTCGCACTACTGTAATCCAGTCTGGGTGATGGAGCAAGACCCTATCTCTTTTTTTTTTTTTTTTTGAGTTGGAGTCTCACTCTGTCGCCCAGACTGGACTGCAGTGGCCGCTCCCAGCCACCGCAGCCTCGCCTGCTGGGCTCCGGCAATCCTTCCGCCTCAGCCTTCCAAGTAGCCGGAATTACAGGCATGCACTACCATGCCCGGCTGATTTTTTGATTTATTGTAGAGATGAGGTCTCGCTGCCCAGGCAGGTCTCGAACCCGCGGGCTCAGGCAATCCACTCACCTCAGCCTCCCAAAGGCACGGGATTACAGGCTGAACCACCGAGCCCGGCTGACCCTATCTCTTAAAAAGTAAAAAAAGAAAAGAAAAATGAAAAAAGAAAATAATACTATCATAGAAGAGAATTTATAGAGGAAGAAAAACTTGCTTCCAGCAATTGAGGCTGAAAGAGAATTAGATGAGGCATTTAGGGGACAGAATCTAGCCCTTAGCAGAGCCCTTGGGCTTGAGACTGGAGAAGAAAACTTGGGGTGGCTGTTCAGTGTCCTTCTGCTCCCCCTCTCTCCCCTCACAGATATTCCACATATCTACAACGATAACATGCAAACCTTCCCTCCCGGAGGTAAGTAAAATTGTTCACTGGCTCCCACATCTTCTGCCCTTCCCCTGACACTATCTGCTAAAATCTTCCACCCTCTAAAATAGCTTCTACCATAATGCCCCAAGGAGCCCCTGCTTTTGTTTCCGGTCTCTAAAAATATCTATCCTCAGCTTGAGGAAAGATAGAGACATATCAATATTGCCCAAGAAAGACAGAGAAACAGACAGAGACAGGAAGGCACAATCGGAAGCAGAATTAAAACTTGGAGACAGTGTGTGTTCCCAAATCGCGGGGGAGGATGAGCTATCACCATCTCCGTGTGTTTTTATACTGATCACTGATAAACCTGCCTTGATAATTGCTTTAGATAAAAAGGCAGAAATGAGTTTTGTGCTGACAGATGTGCATTATTTCTATCTTCAGAAAGGCCAGGAGAGGAGAAGTTCATCCGTAAGTGTTTCCTTTTATTCCACAGCAACTTTCTTGACTCAGAATTTTAAAACACGAATCTTTCTCCCCTTCTCTGTGGGACTTGACAGGGAAGATGGCAAAGCAGTTCTCAGCAAATAACTGTCCCTGAAACGTGGCAGAAATTCCAATCACATGGGGAAAAAGCAGTGGAAATGGGAGGTCTTTGGACAAGATGCCAGGTGGTCTGATGTCTCAGACCTTTTTCCCTAATGACCTTAGTAACCATAACCTGCCACACACACATCTGCAACTCCGCTGTCTAGCAACTGGGGCCAGAGCCACTGAGTCACAGTGATGCTGAGAGCAAGAGTATCCTTAAGATGGCTAGATCTCGGCCGGGCATGGTGGCTCACACCTATAATCCCAGCACTTTGGAAGTCAGAGGTGAGAGGATCACCTGAGCCCAGCAGTTCAAGACCAGCCTGGGCAACTTAGCAAGACCTCATCTCTACAATAAATCAAAAAATTAGTCGGAGGTTTGGTGGCACACTCCTGTTGTTCCATCTACTTGGAAGGCTGAGGTGGAAGGATCTGCACTCCAGCCTAGGTGACAGAGGGAGACTCCAACTCAAAAAAAAAAAAAAAAAAAGGCCAGGCTCAGTGGCTCAACCTGTAATCCCAGCACTTTGGGAGGTCGAGACAAGTGGATTACCTGAGCCCAGGGGTTTGAGACCAGCCTGGGCAACTTGGCAAGACCTTGTCTCTATGATAAAAATAAATAAATAAATAAAGCTACATCTCCCAGGAGACAGACAGGACATATTTCCTCATCCTCCTTAGTGTCTCATCCCCCGGGTATGGCTGCCATTGTGAAGGACTACATTCTTATCCATGTCTTTTCTTATTTTCTCAGTTATCCAGGCATCTGATATTGGTAAGGAATTTTTTTAGTTTCTCCCAAGACTTTGGCATGAAGGTGGCAGGAGAGGCATTAGGCTAGAGGGAGGGGAAGGCGAAGGCAAGAGCTGAATCCCAGGTCCCAGGGATTAAAGCCATTTCCAGAGAGTCACTCACGCCAAAGCAGGCCAGATGTATTCTTAGGATGCCAGGACCCCAGAGGGCTGGGCCTGGGTTCACACCCTCCCTGATCTGCATTCATGGACACAGATGCACTGCTCCCTGGAGCAGCCTCGTTCCAGCCTTCGCTCACTCACCAAAGGTATTCTCCTTTGTCAACTAACTCATTGAGAAGGGAAAATAGACCTTCTTTCTCAACTCTGAGCTGGAGTCTTGGAGAACAGAAAGTCAATTATGCACTGCTATGGGGTGAGGCCTGGGATCCCTGCTGGGTTAGATGATAATATGAGCCCTGGTCCACCTCCTCATCCCAACCCTCAGGTCAAATCTGGGGGATAATTTCATAAAACTTCTTAAAACCGTATTTCTTGGTAAAGAAAAAAATAGGCCAGGCTCAGACCTGGGTTAGGATATGAGGAGGGCTGAGTGAAGGAGCCTGGCAGGACAATGTTTACTGGACAGGGAGGGTGCCAGGTAGAGGCCTGTGTGCCACATTTACTGTCCCCATAGGAGATGTACACCAAGACTTCAGGACACTAAAAGAAGAGGTTCAGAGAGAGACCAAGGAAGTGGAGAAGCTGAGCCACGTAGGGCAAAGCTCCCTGCTCAGCTCCCTCAGCAAACTCCTAGGAAAGAAGAAGGAGCTCCAAGACCTTGAGCTTGCGGTGAGGCCCTTGTGGAAGGACAGGGATGTAGCAGAAGGAAGGTCTGGGCGGAGGTAGGGGTGGGTATTGTCACTGGTGGGAGGATCTGACAGTGGCAGAAGGTAGCCAGTGGCCATGGCCAAAGGAGTCCACAGTGGATATCCTCCCCAAGGTTGGCCAAGTGCCCCCAGGCTGCCAGGCTCCCTTTGTCCCCTGGAAAAGCGCAAACAGGCCGGGCTTGATGGCTCAGCCTGTAATCCCAGCACTTTGGGAGGCCGAGGTGAGTGGGTTGCCTGAGCCTGAGGGTTCGAGACCCGCCTGGGCAACTTGGCGAGACCTCATCTCTACAATAAATCAAAAATGAGCCAGGCATGGTAGTCTGCACCTGTAGTTCCAGCTACTTGGAAGGCTGAGGTGGAAAGATCGCCAGAGCCCAGCAGGTCGAGATTGCAGTGGGCGGGAGCGGCCACTGCACTCCAGTCTGGGTGACAGAGTGAGACTCCAACTCAAAAAAAAAAAAAAGAAAAGAAAAGAAAAGAAAAGAGCAAACAGCACAGACTCCCCCAAGGCACAGGCTCCCTCTGGTGGCCAGAAGGTAGGCGGCTAGGCCAGAGGGCCCTCTGCTGGAAGAGGGCTGGAACCTTTCCTTTCCAGAGTCCAAAACTCAGGAACCAAGGAACCCAGGAGTCTGATACTTCTCAGGACTTGATACCTCAAAAAAGAAGTAGGGGAATGGGAGAGAATTAACATGGATAAATGGGATTATTATGTGCCATGTTGGGCTCTTTCCCCATGTTATCTTCAATAGTCCCAACCTCTCCCCGCAGCTTGAAGGGGCTCTCGACAAGGGACACGAAGTGACCCTGGAGGCGCTCCCGAAAGATGTCCTGCTGTCAAAAGAGGCTACAGATGCCATTCTCTATTTCCTCGGAGCTCTAACAGGTAAATAGGGAATAAGGTCTTCATTTACCAACTTTTTCAGTGATAGGATGAATTGCTCGAACAGATTACCAAAAGAATGAATAAATTAGTGAATGAATGACAACTCATACTATGGTTAAGTAGTTTATAGCTACATTTTTTTAAAATTGATTTCGTTCCTAAGGATTCACTTGGCCACCTTGGGTGATCTGAGAAGACAGCCTAGTCTTGCTAACAGAGTTCAGGAAATAACCCTGGTTTTATACATATTTAAAACTAACTTCTGCATATAGCTAAGCTCATCGCTTTTTTAATTTGTTTTTTATTTTTTTGGAGTTGGAGTCTGCGGTGGCACACTCACAGCCACTGTAGCCTCAATCTTCTGGGCTCAGGCGATCCTTCTGCCTCAGCCTTCCAAATAGCTGAAACTACAGGTGTGCGCTACCACACTTGGTTTATTTTTTGATTTATTGTAGAGATGAGGTCTCACCAAGTTGCCTAGGCTGGTCTCGAACCCCTGAGCTGAGGCAATTCTCTTGCCTCAGCCTCCAAAAGTGCTGGGATTACAGGCTTGAGACACCACACCTGGCCCAGTTTAACACTTCTATATTGATACTTTGATATTATCTTTAATTTCAGGAGGTAACATCTTCCGATCTTGCCACTAAATTATTTTCTTCCCTCTGCATGAAACATTCCCCCACTTAGAAAAACTCTCTGGTCTTTCAGATGTTAAGTTGAAATGTTTGTTCCCTTAAGAAGCTTGTCCTCCAATTCCAGGAGCAAAGTAGACCCCTCAGCTACGGCTCCCTTAACACCTATATTGTAATTATGCCTGACTTTGTCTTGTTCACATAATCACAAGTTCATTGAATGAAAGAAAGCAGTTTTTCCCTAACACTCAGCAGAGATGTCAAGAATAGAGCAGGCATTCAACTATGAATGAATGAATAAATGCTGAAATTCTGGAAGTATACTTTTCGGAGTTTGTGGTTTTCTCTGCACCAGCAATACTCATCTCTTTCTGTTTTTTTCTCCAGAGCTAAGTGAAGCCCAACAGAAGCTGCTGGTAAAATCTGTAGAGAAAAAGATCCTACCCCTGCAGCTTAAGCTGGTGAGAAAAAAATGGCAGATACTGGGGAGATTTGGGGGATAGCTAGAACCAATGGAAGGATGTAAGTTCTAGAGGGCCCCATCACCACACACACACACAAAAAGACCCAGATGGAACGTTAGGTGAAGTTACAGAGTTATATTAAGGGGAGCATAGCCTTCTTGTGATCTTTATGAATTAGGGAAGAGGAAGAAACTTCCTAGTTCTTTCTTTTCATGCTGTTCTGGTTCCTTCCAGGTGGAGAGCACGATGGAACAGAATTTCCTGCAGGACAAAGAGGGTGTTTTCCCCCTGCAACCCGAGCTGCTCTCCTCCCTTGGGGAAGAGGAACTGACCCTCACGGAGGCCCTAGTGGGGCTGAGTGGCCTGGAAGTGCAGAGATCGGGCCCCCAGTACATGTGGGACCCAGACACCCTCCCTCGCCTCTGTGCCCTTTACGCTGGCCTCTCGCTCCTTCAGCTGCTGACCAAAGCCTCCTAACCTGCCCTTCCCATCTACTTCATGCTTCCCTAACACCTTTTCAACCACATCGTGCTGTGTCCTTCGCACCCATAGATATTTCAGAGTCAGGCTGAGGATGACCGAAATTCTAGCTGGTCACTCACGATAACCAATTTCCACTTGCCCAACCATACATCTCCCCCGCTAAGCCCATCTGCTGATGCTCAAACCTTCTAGAAGCAGGAACACTTTCAAAGCTATGAGCCATTTCAGCAAAACTAAAAAAAAAAAAAAAAGAGAGAAAGAGAGATAAGCTTTCTATCCTAATCCCTCCTACTTGTGCTTCCAAAAAATAAACTTTCCTGGAATTAACGGGAAATATTATGTCAATCTTAGGATTAGATGTCTTTTGGTGTTTTTCTTTAAATAATTTATTAAAAGAAAAAAAATTTAGTCCTATTCCCAGCCAAACTGATGCAAGGAAATTCTTGATTTGTGCCAGAAAAATAAATGATCATTGCCATACTCCATATAGATTATATGTACACAACTACAACTGTATAATGTCCTCAGGCTAGCTGCTGAATACTCAGAATTACCAGGATGTAGAACATGGAATCTAGATTCTTCTTTTTTTTTTTTTGAGTTGGAGTCTTACTCAGTCGCCCAGACTGGAGTGCAGTGGCCGCTCCCGGCCACCGCAGCCTCGACCTGCTGGGCTCCGGAGATCCTTCTGCCTCAACCTTTCACATAGCGGGAACTACAGGCACGCACTACTACGCCAGGTTAATTTTTGACTTATTGTAGAGATGAGGTCTCACCAAGTTGCCCAGGCGGGTCTCGAACCCGCGGGCTCTGGCAATCCACTCACCTCAGCCTCCCAAGGCGGAAATCTAGATTCTTTTTTTTTTTGAGTTGGAGTCACACTCTGTCACCCAGATTGGAGTGCAGTGGCTGCTCCCGGCCACCGCAGCCTCAACCTGCTGGGCTCCGGCGATCCTTCCACCTCAACCTTCCAAGTAGCTGGAATTACAGGCATGCACTACCATGCCCGGCTGATTTTTTGATTTATTGTAGAGATGAGGTCTCGCTGCCCAGGCGGGTCTTGAACCCGCGGGCTCAGGCAATCCACTCACCTCAGCCTCCCAAAGGTGCGGGATTACAGGCTGAGCCACCGAGCCCGGTGAAATCTAGATTCTTAAGTGAGAAGATCATCAAAGCAGCTTGTCTTCAAAGAAAAGCATTTGGGAGTTCCCTGGGCCTGGGTTGAGGGAAAGATTTACAGATATGTGATAAAAGCCCCAAACAAAAATAAAACAGCTTTTGCCAGGCACAGTGGCTCATGCCTGTAATCCCAACACTTTGGGGGGCCAAGGTGGTAGGATTGCTTGAGTCCAGGAGTTCGAGACCAGCCTGGGCAACATAGGAAGATCTCATCTCTACCAAAAAGAAATTAGCATGCGCCTGTAGTCCCAGCTTCTCAGGAGACTGAGGCAGGAGGATCACTTGAGCCTAGGATGTTGAGGCGGCTGTAAGTCATGATTATACCACTGCACTCCAGCCTGGGCAACAGAGTGAAAAAAATAATAAAACAACTTTCAAGTTTATTGACTAGAAAATATAGATGAATCTTCTTTAAAAAAAAAAATGGGACCAGTCTCAGTGGCTCAGCCTGTAATCCCAGCACTTTGGGAGGCTGATGAGAGTGGATTGCCTGAGCCTGAGGGTTCGAGACCTACCCGGGCAACTAGGCGAGACCTCATCTCTACAATAAAACAAAAATTAGCCGGGTGTGGTAGCACGTGCCTGTAGTTCCGGCTACTTGGAAGGCTGAGGTGGAAGGATCACCAGAACCCAGCAGGTCGAGGCTGCAGTGGCCGGGAGCCACCACTGCACTCCAGTCTGAGTGACAGAGTGAGACTCCAACTCAAAAAAAACCAAAAAAACTTGTGATATTATCTTCTTTCACCTTTCTGTGTTCTGTCCTGGAATTCACGGTGGTTGTGGGAGGAAGTAGTGTGGGTAGGCATGGATATGGACCTACTAATATGCATATTGAAGTTTCATCAAACTGTTAAGACTTATATCATCCTCCTCTGTATAAAAGCTGGGTTTGAACATCTTTCATCGACCTCTTGTGAAGTAGTTTTATGAGTGGAATAATTTCTCTAAGCCTTTTGGCCCTGGGAGTCAGACTCTCCTCATCTTAACCACCCCTTGCCTGGGCTAGTTTCCTCACTCACCAAGAATTCATGACCAACTACCAGAAGCTTCATGTTAAACCATCCTCCCCCATCCTGGGCACCTTCCAAAATCCCACTATATTGCTCATAGGCATTCTGGGTTGTTATCTGCTGACTTGACTGTTTTTTTTCCTTGTGATGTAAACTTAATAGAGAGGTGAGCTAACATCCTAACTATCCAGAAGAGTAACTTCTTTGATTGTTAAGGATCAACAACAAAGTTCATCTGTTTTCTTTCTTATCATTTGCCCACTTCAATTACAGATGTGGTATTATGAAGAAGAGGCTGCAGTGAGTTTACTGCAGTAATGACTCAAAAGTCCTGTTATCCATCACTCAGCCCTGGGTGGAGAAGGGGTGAGAGGACAGTTAAAGAGGAATTGGTCAAGGCATGTTCTCTAAAACTGGAGCACATATCTCTCCATTTAGCAAGTGGCTGTGTTAATGCAAGGAACTATTTGCTGCAACAGTATGAAAAGGAAGAAACAAAAGCTATGTATGTCTCCTTGATATACAGAAAATTCAGGCTGGGCACGGTGGCTTATGCCTATAATCCCAGCACTTTGGGAAGCCAAGGTGAGAGGATTGCCTGAGCCCGCGGGTTCGAGACCAGCCTGGGCAACTTGACAAGACCTCATCTCTACAACAAATCAAAAAATCAGCCAGGCATGGTGGCTCGTGCCTGTAGTTTCAGCTACTAGGAAGGCTAAGGCAAAAGGATCACCTGAGCCCAATAGGTCGAAGCTGCAGTGGCTGTGAGCGTGCCACTGCACTCCAGACTGAGCAACAGAGAGAGAATCCAACTCAAATTTTTAAAAAAGATAAAGAAAATACAAAGAGGGATATGGTCAAAACATGTTCGCTGCCCTCTGGGTCCTTACAACAGGACAAGATTGTCTTGTAGGGTTGTCAAAAGTCTAAAACTCAGGACTTGCATTTATGGGAGAGATAAATGTTCCAAGATAAAGAGGGAGCTTTGTTTTGCATCCTAAAAAATTGGGACCTCCTCCTGGCTTCACCTTCCTTGCAGAATCAGTGGGGCGGGGGTGAAGGGGTTCTTTGAAAAGTAAGTGGGCAGGGTCTCTGGGCCAGTTTCCTTCCCCTTAGGTATACCATGATTCTCTCCTGGGTACACCATTATTCTGTTCCCCACTTCACAACAGTGTCTGTCTGGCTGTATAAAGGCCATAAAGGCTCCCTCGGACAGGCTCCCTGAAGCCTCAACCCCCAAAGCACATCGCAGCCCAGAGTAGTGTACGGTTATGTATACCATCCGACTCCCACACAGACTACTACATTCTTGAGCTGAGTTTTTCACGCACCCCGGGTGGACCCCTATCCTTCATTTAACCGTAAGTGATGCCACACACATAAGCACGCTGCCCCCTGTCCGCACTCCCAGGCTGCAGAAACCTCTTGCCTTATTTTCAGCACTAAACTAAAATCTGACAAGGAAGTCCGAATCCCACAGGGTTCTTCCTACTCTCCAGTTCGGCTCAAATGCAACAGCCTCTAGCTCCACGTCCCTCCTTCGCAGCCTTCTTTCCTTCGCTCGCGCCGGATGCACCAGGCCGCCGTTGAACACCAGCCTCGCGGATCTGGAAGGCGACCCGGGCCCGGGGCACACTGAGCCAGCTTGGGTGCAAAGCCCGCCCGGCTCGTGACGTCATCTCGCCCTTGCTCGGATAGGCGGTTCTCACTCCACGCTAGTTAGGACGCTCTCAGAGTGCGTGGTAACCCAGACTGGAGACTGAGGCGACCTCTTGTGGACATCCACAGACATGAACTCGATAGGAACATCAAAAAAAAAAAAATCAACACACTGAAGCACTCGAAAGCAAGCCCCACAAACCCACCCAGGCTCCTCCCCGCTCCTTCGAAGCTCCGCCTCCATCCTGCACCTCGGCTGTTGATTTCTTTCCCCTGTTGACTCGGCCATCGGCCCGCCGGGCCTGGCGTTTCCCAGAAGGCCCAGCGTCGGGAAGGGGTTTGCAGCTGCTCCGTCATCGTGCGGCCCAACCGTAGCCCGCGCTCGTGTGCAGGCCCGGCTCGGTTCCTGGCCCCTGGTGCGAGGGTTCACGCGAGGCTCCGGCCTCGGTCCCCGGACTAGGCCGAGACCCCGGGCGCCATGAAGCAGGAGGGCTCGGCGCGGCGCCGCGGCGCGGACAAGGCGAAGCCGCCGCCCGGCGGAGGGGAACAAGAACCACCGCCGCCCCCGGCCCCTCAGGATGTGGAGATGAAGGAGGAGGCGGCGGCGGGGGGCGGGTCCACGGGGGAGGCCGACGGCAAGACGGCAGCGGCAGCGGCTGAGCACTCCCAGCGAGAGCTGGACACCGTCACCTTGGAGGGTACGGGAGTCCGGGCCGGGGACGTGCCACGACCACGGGTGACAGCGACCCTGGTGATTCGGCTTCTCCCTGGGATGCCAGCGCGCCTCCACTCCCCCCCCGATTCCTTGGGATCACCCCCAAATGCTTGCCCCCACGACCCTGACACTCCCGACCCCAGCCCCGTTAACTGAGTCTTCTTTCCAGACTGGGGACCACTCCCCGCGCATCCCTCCGCCCTGCACCTGGGGTCACATCTCGATCTAGGTCTCACTGGGCCTGGGGACCCCCTGTTCTATGTCTTCCGCTTTCTGAGCGCTCCCCTCCGACCTCCTCCCTTTACATCCCACCCGACTGATTCTAGTGCCCCCAGCATATGCTTGATTGATCGCTGTAGAAACCAGTGTTTGTGTTTGTGTGTAATGACCCAGGATACTGGCCCTGAGTTTTAAGAGATTTTTGTTGTCCTCGCTGCCTTTAGCAAATTCCCTCAAAAAACTATTTTGGCCTAATATCTTGTTTCTGTATTTCTTTAATTGAGGTGCTCAGGCTAT